GGAAATTCACATTACATTTAAAAAAATTAATTATATTTTCAAAATTTTTGACAGGAATTTTCAGAAAAGTAGGGGTTCCTAGCATATAAGTTTGTTTTCACATTGAGAGTACAACACATAAGAAAAATTACAAATAACATACAATGACTGACATAGTGTTGCTGTGTAATAATGTGTTTTAAAAACTCTTCAAATTTTGTATTTTGGCTTATGCCCAAAATATAATCTAATTCATATTCTAGTAAAATTGATTGTTAGTTCTGCTACTAGCTAATTTAGAGACAGATGTGTGGAGACTCGCTATAAAAGTAAGTAAGTAGATTAAAGAGGCAATCAAATCCAACCAAAAATCACTTTCAAAGGATTGAAAATGCAGTGTATTTTTGATAATATCTCATCTATATTTTTTCAATATATATTTTCCTAATTCTGGGAAACATTTTTCATAACAATCTAGCTCGTACCCAGCATGTTGCTGCCGCAGAAGAAATAATTGTGGAAATATCGTTTGAAATTTGAAAATAGATATCTCGTTGTTTTTCTTATTTAAGATTTAACTCATTCCCTCTCTCTCCCCCTCTCTTTCACCCCCTCTCTCTCTTTCCCCCTCTCTGTATCTTTCCCACTCTCTCGTTTCCCCTCTTTTTTTCTGTCTTTTTCCCTCTCCTTTTCACTTTTCCCCCATCCCTTCATTGCGCCGCCCAGTCCTCCTGCCCTCTGCCCCGACTCACGTCACACGTCACTCTGTCACGACACACGTCACGTCACAGTAATGATATACCTCCTTAGTCTGTGGTCACACAGAGACGCTCAACAACAATAAAGTTCAGATGTATTGAGAATTAATTTAAATGAAAGAGTTATCTTGTGCTGCAGCACCATCTAGCGGAGTTATACTACGATTTATGCAATTCAGCCCCAAGCAGGAATCGGCTGTTGATTTCATCCAATCGAGAGCTTGAACGTCACCATGGTGACGTTTAGGTTTTTCGATTTTTTAGTGATAGAACCAAAAGATTACTTCAATAATATATTGAAGAAGTAAACCCTCGTCCTCTATGTACACTTTTCTTGAAAAATTTGGAGTCGTTTTTAAGAAATCGACGTTTTTTGTGAATGCATTTGAAGCTAGTTTACACAGAGAATTTTGGAGTTTTCAAAAATTTAATTGCAAGTCATTTGAAACACTTCCACTCACAAATGCAATAACGTACTTATACAAATCGTTGGAAATGTGCAAATTAATGCCATTTTCACGAAAATGCTTCAAAAGTTTTCATCAATTTTTGTTGTTGAATGCATAGGGGTGAATGGACCGAATAAGATAACACACTATATCCCACTTCGTTGTATTTTGTTTTTCAAAAAATACAGAAGTGTAATTTTAAAACAATGTTCAACGCCATTAATACCAGCAATTTATATACATTACTGTATTTGTACAGGTCGCATGTGACCTTTCTTTCCTTTTCTTTGTCACAATCTCTCTTTCTCACACTCATTCACAAACACTACCTATCACTCTTGTCTGAAGACCAGCCGAGAACTTGAAGTATGTTCCGGCTGGGGCGGTTCCCCGCTGGGGGAGAAATCCTTGCAGGGGGAAATCTTGGAGGAGGAGGGGGAAATCCCCTGTAAGGCGAGATGTGGACCAGTGCCGGATCTCACGATCTAGCGTTGGAGGAACACCGGCGCCTCCCGAGATAAAACACTCTACAAACGAGTTTGAGAGTTGACGTTGAAACTATCGGAAACATCAATAAACCAGTCAATCAATAAAGCCTCAGAAACCCATATTCCTCTCCGCTACGATGTGAAATGCAGCGGCGAATTAATTATGGAGTTCATGAGGATTACCTCCATCCAAATACATCCCGATGAGTTGGAACAAAATAAAGGCTCCGATAAGTCTCCCGAGATGTCTCATAGTGGTCAGCGTCGACACTAGGCATGGGCAGACAAGGCGATCACCTGCGGCCCCGCAAGCCAAGGGGCCCGACAATGGGACTGGTGGAAAAGAAATTAGAACTCGAGAAAAACCTTATCATAATTTTATAAGTTGCGGCACAGAAGTCTGATATTTCATAAAAGGTAATTTTTTTTAACCTTATAGTCATTGTTTATAAGGTAGAACTATGACTCAAATGACGCTCACATTAAAATAGATTCTTCTGAAATTCATATTTCTTATTTCATGTATTTAACAAGTGATTGTATAAACTAAGCACACCATTTTTGGCGTTTTAATCTCACCGTGAAAACTGATTATATCAATAAATACTTTCACTTAAAACTATGATTTTAAAAACAATTTCCAAAACGTTTGCTAGCTTAAACGTAATTTTTGTTATTTGCTGAAATAAAATAACTCGTAGAGTTAGTTCGTTTCTTGAGACAATTATCACATTTTTAGTTTTTTTTCGGGTATGGGGGTACGTTGCACCATTACCCTGGGCCCAAAATTGTCTAGTTCCGTACCGATCGGAGAAACCATGGACAACTGTCGTTCAGAAATCTAGACCACTAGAATTCTTTCCAGCCAACGGCAGAATTCGACATAGAATAGTATGGCTAGTGTCGAAAATCCATCATCGTGAAACTAGAAACTTAGGACTCCCGGTCAGAAACTCTGCAGTGTCAATAGTTGTTCCTCTGAGCCATCTCGGCGGTAAAATCACAATGATTTCCCCAAAAATATTGGCATGATTTTACTCAACCGATATTATATAGGATAGCAATCTGTATCGATTGCTATCCTATATTGATCAAAGAGCAATCGGTACAGATGTCAATTAAGAATGGCAAAATTTTAAGGAGACAATATTACAAGCGGCAGCAGAAGAAGTCCTAGGCAAAAGAGCAAAATCAAGAAATAAGAAGGGTGTCCAAAATTGGAATGAAGAAATACAAGAAATTGTCGATCAAAAGAAAAAGACTTGCCTACAGTATCTCCAATCACATTCCGAGGAAGACAAAATATAATATAAAAATAAAAGCGCTATTGCGAAGAGAGAAATTAGAAAGATAAAGCGATAAATTTGGGATAGATATGTAAGCGAGATTGAACATAACTGTCATGGATCACAGGACACTGACTACAAAATAATGAAGTATCTAAACTCGACAGAAAGAGATACATTAAAAATTAACATCTCCGAGAAAGATTGGTTTACAAACCATCAGTCCCTGTGGACAAACACAGAGACTCCCGAAAACCCCCTATCGGAGAAAATAATAGAAGTGGATCCCATTGACCTGGACGATATGAACAATATACTTAAAACGTTCAAGAATAAGAAATCGCCAGGAACTGATTGCATGAATGCCGAACTACTAAAGTTCGCACCGAACGAAATAAGAAGGAGATTCCTCGAAATAATAAATGTGTTGGAGGAGATATACCATTCCGGAAGATTGGAGGAAAGGAATTATATGCCCGATCTTCAAAAAAGGTAATAGGCAGGATTGCCAAAATTACAGAGGAATAAGTGTTCTCAACACAGCCTATAAGATATATGCTAAGATAATATCTCGGCGATTAAATATTATAAATGAGCATATGTTACTGGAAGAACAGTGCGGTTTCAGGAAAGGCCGCTCATGTTCCGACTGCATATTCGTAGTGCAACAACTAATACAGAAAAGACGAGAATTTAACTTACCGACATATATACTATTTATAGATTACGAAAAAGCTTTCGACAAAGTGTCCCGAAAGAAACTCTGGGAAATAATGCATATAAAAGGATTTCCAGCCCACCTAATAGGAGTAATACAAAGTCTCTACTTCGACACAAATATGCATTGATAAAAGATCTCAAAGAAGTAATAAATTTATGGGAATAAATCAAGGAGTCAAACAAGGGTGTCTACTTTCGCCAGCACTATTCAGTATATATATATATATATAATATATATATATATATATATATATATATATATATATATATATATATATATATATATATATATAGATTGTCCGGCAATGGCAAGGGCAGTTGAAAAACACATTTTAAAATAAATAACAAATCTCTAAACACCATATTGTTTGCAGACGACCAAGTAATTTTAGTAGCTCAGAAGACGAACTACAAATTGCAGCACACAAATTAAACGATCAGGCATCCGAATATAATATGAAAATCTCCACTAGGAAAGAAAATCAATGGGCTTTGAAGGAAACAAACCACATTAGATTGCTTAAAATTATAATTAATAATGAACCGATAGAACAGACAAATAATTTCACCTACCTAGGCTTCAATGTGTCTGTTAGAAAAATGACATAAGCCGGAAATTAAATAGATTCTATAATGTGTGTGGGACAATGAGAAGAACATTAAAAAATAAGACTTTGAAAACTACGCAGCTCAAGTTTTACAAAGTAATGGCAGTACCTACGCTAATTTATGCATGCAAAAACTGGATTATAAATAGAGCTGACAGAAGGAAAATAGAAAACCCTGAAATGAACTTCCTACGTTCAGTAGCAGGTTACAATATTTTAGATAGACAATATAATGATGACATCAGAACCGAACTGAATATATTTAATCTGATGGACAGAATCCAATCATTAAGGAGAAACTGGCGTGACCATATTCGACGCATGCCTCCAAACAGAATCCCCATAATAATATATCAGTACAATCCTAAAGGAAGAAGAAATGTTGGCCGCCCACTAACAAGATGGAAAGACTCTCTCTCTCTTGATGTGGAAACAGGCCTTAAGGCCTAACTCCATGAAGACGAAGAAGAAGATTCTACTGAAACATCGTTTTTTTTTTTTTTTTCATATTATCGGTATAACCTGTAAATAGAAGTATTTTACCAGTATAGACGTCGGATAAAGGTAGAATACCTCTAAAAATAACGGTATTTGACGTTGTATTCTGGTATTTTTAAAGGTATTTCTTATAAAGGTGTAATAGAGGTAAAGGTACTTCTGTACCGGTATAAATACCTTATAATTTCGGTGTTCGATTCCTATATTTAACATGTAATTGTTTAGAGGAAATTATCATAGGTAATACCAATTGTGTGAGGTTTTCCAAAGCACTAGTGGTATTTAATAGGATTATTCTACGAATGAAATTATTTCCACCAGAATTATCAAATTCATCAAATATTGAAAATAACTTTTCAATAATTTTTTAAAATATCGACACAGCTCTCGAGGCATCCCGCCTTCTAAGATGAGTCGCAACGTATTATTGGCCTGCAGGGAGGAACGGTAAGAAAAATCAAATAGAAAAACTGTTTTCATTTTTTTAGATACACCCCCTTAATTGGAGTAATGTATATGTATGGTTAAACAATATTGGTTTTAATTTCACGAGTGGAATAGTCACCAAAAACTATATAAACCAACAACCAGCTTCCATCACGACAATTTTAAACCTAATTTTGTTAAAGTTCTTTTTTTTAAAATTTGTTGCGTCGTTTTGACACAACGCGCATCTTTAACCCTTGTTGGACGTTGAGCATTTTTCTTGGAATAAACCTTCGCTACTAATAGGAAGTAATTACTATCTTAGTCAAGTTTCGTCACATCGCAGTCAGTCCGTGCCTTTTATCCTTTCGGCGAGGGGCTTAAGGTTGAAGAGCCATACATTATTTCTTTCACCAATGTTATGGCAAGTAATGTAAATTCTTTAGTTATAACACACATTTTTATTTTCAAAATGTTTCTTAAGAAATTTTCAAAACTAATATACCTATTTATGAAGTTCAAGGTTACGAACAAAGTTCACGATGGTTTTGATCTGGCAGATAATCTACTGTAGCCAGTAAGACCTTGTTTTTTTTCTGTGATGTTGTTGCTACCTTCAACACTTTCTTGGATCTCTATGGCGCTGATGCCTTGAATAGTCTTCGTACTTTCATGATGTTCACTTTTGATCATGGCTCGAGTTCATTGAACTGAAAGTTTTCTTGGTAGATAATACTCCTGGAATTTCAGCTTCTATCCTTATTGCCTCTAGTTTTGTGTTCCAAATGTGTTCTTTGTTTAGCAGTTCATCAATTGCCCCTTGAATGTTATGGAAATAATGGGCTTTTATTTTAACTACTTGAAAAGGCTTAAAAAGTTTAACAGATGTGATATCACATACATCGTGCCTCATTGTGATTCTCTTTTGCTTCTTTTAGCACGAAAATCATGGTCTCGTGAGAGGAAACAGTGACCTGTGGTAAGGAATTTGTGTTCCAACAGATACTGACAGGCTAAGAGAGACAAAGTACATCGGAATAAATACTAGCATTCTATTCTTATTTTGGCCGGTGCAGCTATCCCTCAGTGGTGGTATCAAGTTGTAGTGATTCCCATATACAACACAATTAAAAAAGGCAAGAGGGTATTTCGTTGCCTCTTCCAGGGACTGATTAATCCCATACACGCACGCGCACGCACATACGCCTGCACACACATACACACACGCACATGTACAAGCTTCTGATATCTCATGTATTAGTACAAAAGTTGAAGCAAGAAAGCTCACTCCTATAAAACATTCCACTGTGTATTGTAGTAGGTATATGTAGTACCTGTTCTAAGTCATTAGAGATACATCACTACCTGGTTGTTGGGACGCAACTGTATTTTGTCTCATATCGTCTCTTGCTCGTTCACTGAGACGTAGGTGAATTTCAGTTTCTTTTAGCTTTCGTGCCCATTGTGGTTTGAAGTCTAATGTCTGAGCCATTGGAAACCATCACGTGTTTTCAATACACGTGTCCGTTCTAGGTTTCTTCATAGACAAATTCGGGAAATTCTTAAATTCAGCGAAGTAGTACCTGAAGGGCAACAAGGAACCTGGATGTTCTTTCTTGAAAGTCAAATACAAGCGACTGGTTTTTGTCAGAGCTGAGATATTCACTTTTTGATTTTGACTTAGAGTAACGAGTCAGTGACTGATTTTTTTGGAATGGACCGAAAGTGGTCTTTGACCAGCTGCCGGTCGGCGCAAGTAAACACCACCAACGGATCTCTTTCTCTCATCTGTCATCATAAGTTAGGTTTCCTGATTCTATTATTTTGATAATTTTGTTATCTTTCCACAACGTATCATTCATTTACTCTATTGAAATCAAGGAGATGTCCATTTGTGTGTTATGCAATTTATGTACACAGTGTCAAAAATAAATTGTTAAAGCTGTAAGTGACGTTTGGGAGCAGGACGTTCTATTTAGTGATCAGGAGCGAAGCGTCCGTAGCCCTGTAGCAGAAACTATTTAACTTTCTAAACAGCAAAGAAATATAAGTGAAGTACGGAATTTGTTGCTGAAGTTTGAATGCGAGAAGTGTCTTCTTCAGTGGTGTGCATGAGCTTACATGCTTCTGTCCTTTGTTTTTGTAGGATCCAGACGTGCTACTCGAAGACAAGAACTTGCAATTTGCTGCCATAGGGCAAGGTGCCAAAGGACCCCACAGTTACGGGTTCACCCTTCACTTTCACTCACCAGTGGATCCAGAAGTACGTTTGACTACCTGATTATATTAAGTAGCTGCAATGGCGGATCGTGCACGTGTTGTTTCAAGGGGAAGAAAAACAAAGATAATTTCCGCATCAAATGCAGTGGGCATTTGTCTCGTAAGTGTAGTGCATGATATGTCCTGGGAGATGGCGACGTTTCTCCGCCGCTGTAAAATAAGATTAGCGCCGCCCCACCCATCGGCTTGCGGGGGTTTCCTCCTCCAGGTCCGCCCGCCTGGGGGCACTGCCAAAGCTCCTTCGAAAAAATGAAAGGCGCTTTAATTAAAAAATGAAAGACGGCATTAAAACGTTTGGGTGTCTGACGGATTTTGTAATTTAAGCACTCTTACAAAAATGAGCTAAAGGTCACGGAAAATTGGAATATTTATCACAATGATCGCAATCCAATGAATTTTAGGAGTATCTCTACTTCCCTGTTGGATAATTATTCCACCTCCCCTATCCCCACTGGTTTGAAAACTCTCTTTCCCCTCCTGCTCCCCAGCATTCTTTAGATGTTACTAGAGATTGTAGGTACAGGCCACATGGGGGTATCGGCAACTTGTTACTAGAGTTCGCAGGTATCTGCCAAGATCATTGAAGAGAAATATATGCCCAGTAAATAGATTTACTATTCAGAAACAGACAAAGTTTGTTCCCCATTGAGGATCATTAATGCACTCCCTAATCTCGGAGTCGGATAGTCTTCAAACAGGAAAGGAGAAATTGATTGTTGAATCATGGAGTTAATAAAATCATATAATCTTTCAAAGGTTTTCTAATTTTGACCACAGGGAAGTCAATACCGCATTTTGGATCGTGAGGTTGACTTTACAATTAAGAAGAAGGACAGTGGATGGTGGCCACGGCTGACTTGTACACCTCAGAAACCTGTTTGGCTGAAGGTAGGCTTTCCTTTCCTGTAATGATGAGGTCACATTTTATGAATTTAAATTACATTCTATTTTACCATTTTCCAGATTAAACAATAAATAAAAGACTCTTTACAGACATCCATTACTTACTTTTACTACACTCGATGGAATATTGAGGAAAAGCATTAGGTAGAAGTAATAGCTCATTTCAACCTTTTTCTGCTAATACATTTAACATGTAGCATTCTAGAACCTCGATTGAATACAATTCTGAGAACTCTTGTGCATCCAACTTTGTACCAAGAAAAAGGAAATTCTTAACTTCTTTTCCATTCTGTTTCAATCATATTTGTAAGGGAAGCCCAGTCTATGACCTGTGGTAATTCAAATCAATTGTAGGCCTATTAGTTTCAACACTTTAAATTTTCTAGATGGACTTGAAATGATAGTGATTTTCCTGTTCAAGCATAATTCAGGTCAGGATTTGATATTAGCTACACTGAACCACAAATATAGAAACTTACATTGCAGAATTAAAAATCAAATTTATCAAAATTGATATCTATTATGATAAAAGTGAATTCAATGTCATGCAACAATCATCAATACCCAAAAAAGTAATGTATGAATGGATTCAAAATTTTTACAGGCTTGTCTTTGGGATTGTCACAGAATTCTTGCAAAGTTTGTTAAAGATTAATACAATACAAATGCAAAATATAAATTATTTAAATAATATGTTGGTAAATGAACGATCATTATTTTTCACCTGATGCTAAGAGCAAAATATGTTCCTGATATATTCTGCCAGAGCCCCATGCAGTGCGTAAGATAAACATTTTTAATCTAATTGCAATGTACTGTAAAAAAAAAATGAAAGAAAATTCTAATATTTTATGAACATTTGAACCAATTACATTAAAAATAATAATTTTAAACATTGTGATTTATATAAAATTGATCTTTTTCCTCTCTCACTAGGATTGTATTTGAAGAAAGTGCAAGCAATGTTGGGTATTTTGCTAGGAATAAATAAAGGAGTAAAGATAAACATTTTTAAGCAAAATAGGCAGAATGATTAACAATTTGAAGAAATATGATGCATTCTGATGAAGGGAATGGTGTGTGTGTGTGTGTGTGTGCCAGAGTGTGCGTCAGTTTATTTGCTGGGTGAGGGAATGAGAGATGTACAGTTTTTGTGGTGAGAAAGGTAATTTTCTTTGTAATTAAATTGTTAATCAATGATAAATGTTGTTGAGAGCTATTTGCTTTATGACGTGCATCTCTTTTCTGAAGTTCTGAGAGGAGAAGGAAATAGAGAAGAATCTATTGGGTTATATGAAATGCTGTGTGTTTGTGAGAGGATGGATGTTGATGTAATGTTATGTTGTTTATGACTTATCAGAGTAGGTTGGGTTGGTTTTCTTTAGATTCCAAACACATGTCCGTCATTCAAAAAAGTGAAATAGAGGTCTTTTGTGACCTCTATTACATACATGATTGACTTGCATGTGTGCATATTACATTTTCTGAGGAGCAACTTTATTTCCAGACCATACGAATTCTTTGAGAACATGCCAAACAAGTTAAGAACAAACCAATAAACAAACACCTTGAATTTACATCTTGAAATTGATTAGAAAAGGGAAATAAAGTAGAATTCATAGCTGGAAAGCCTTAGAAGGAGAAAATTAAAATTCAGTGATTTTAGGGCAGAGAAAAATCATTCAGTAAATAGACTCAATGTGATTTTTTTAAAAATAAGTACCAAGTCAAATCTAATGTGCTGACATTACAATAAACAAGCAAAGAAAATTCCATAAGCTGTAAAAACATTGTAAATGAAAATAAGAAAATTATTTTCTTTGTAAATTATGTTAAAAAAAAAAAAAAAAAAAACGTTCAGTGATTTCGAAAATTTTACTGTACTCTACCTTCTGAAATCATAAGCTAAACAAGATATTCTGCAAAAAGTAAACTTTTTTCAGTGGCATTTCAGTGGTTGAGTTTCTCAATTGCATTCAAATGCCTGTGCTTATTCCAATTGTGCCCAAGTGTTATGTATGTGTTGATTTAAAATGATTTTTCTGTGAGCCATCCATGAATTTTGTGGAGAAAATACAACAAATTTGTGAAGATGTGAATAAATAATAATCTCTTTTTTTCCAAATCTCTCTCTAAAATTCTGTTAATCTCTCTTCCTCAAGCACTCATTAATTTTGTATTTTCTCTAGAAGTTTTAGATTATTGTTTATGATCTAAGGTTTTTTTTTCCTAGTCAGGGAGGGAAGGAATGTAGATTGATACAGTCTCATTCTCAAGGAAGTTGTTTTGTGTGAGAGGCTATCATACCAGAGCATGGCAGTAGCTGAGGCAACAGTGAGCAACAATGCCCTTCTCTGCAGGTGGACTTTGACCGTTGGAAATCAGAAGATGATGGTGAAGCTGAGGAAGAGGAGATGCGAGATGTGATGGGGGATTATCCAGGAGTCTATGACCGTCTGGAGAAGGAAGAATTTGGGTACAGAAAAGGTTTGTCAACATAGCAAAATTATCATCAGATACATTTATTTTATATAAGTCAGAAACAACGAAATAGAATTTTATCATTCTCAAGCATGCAAATGTTACACTGCATTATCGTTTTTCAGAAGTACATCATTTACTTATTCACGTAATTTAATCTGAGAGTTTAATTACTTTTTCTTGTTGGTACATTTAATTGAAATGTTGTTTACTTTCAGAGGATTTAAGAAAAGTCTATCTGGCTTTTTACAATTTGGCCCAATTTATAGGTTTCACATACATTTTAACAGTTATGGGAATTCGATATTTTCGGGATGGACCTGGTAAGCAACTATGAAATTATTCAAATATTTTATTTAGTGGTAAAGATACATAAATATGTAAGTTTAAGCTCTTAATACTACTTGTCCTTGAGGATTGTCCTACTTGTCCTTTAATGATTTTGATGAAGTTAACTTTCACTCATTTTATCATGGTATGTGATTAATCCCTTTTAGGTATTCTTATTAAATTTCAATCAGAGAAGACATTTTTGTCTGAAAATTGATGAAGATATTACTCATTATCCATTTCTTTCTCTCTACCTTTTTGTTAATATAGATTCAATGCCTGGAACATTTGAAGCAGTTGGGAATGCTTTAAAATTTTGTCAGTTATTGCAGTTTCTGGAAGTTATGCATCCATTATTTGGATACACAAAAGGAAGTGTTTTACAGTCTCTGATACAGGTGAGCGGTGAACTTCACCTGACATGATTGTGTATCTCATTTCAATTTTTACTTCACAGTTATGAAGTTGATGTTCATAATATTATTATTATTATTAATATTTAACCAACTTACAAGGTTATTCTAATTTTTATTCTCCTTTTTTATTATTAACTGCCACCAAATTATTTTTCGACTGGTACCATATTATTGCTCATTTGCAATAATAAATTTTTATTATTGTTTTGTTGTTATTGTTATTATTAATATAAAATGGTAATATGTGCAATGATTTACATTTCATGTTTATATACCAAATAGTCTATATAAATTAGATTTGTGGGACATACTTATCTTATGGGAGCCTTCCAATTAACCTGGATAGTAGATAATATTTGGCATCGTAGAATTTGAATTAAACGTTTCTGGCTGAAATTTGGCTGATTTACTTGAAAGAATTATTTGCTTTGACTTTTATAGGTGGGCGGTCGAGCATTCATTCTTTTCTGCATGATTGATGCAGAGCCGAGAATGCACGAGAAGCCTGCTGTCTTTTATTTGACATTCTTCTGGAGCTTAGCAGAAGTTACAAGGTTGATACCATTGGATGAAATTTAATGTAATTAATTCATTGATTGAAGATAAGAATATTATTAATCTCTGTTGTTTCAGGTATCCATATTACATTGCCCAGTTGTATAAAAAAGACAATGGGTTTCTGACTTGGCTTCGGTACACCATTTGGATTCCCCTCTATCCTTTGGGTTTCTTGTGCGAAGGTGTAATCATTCTCAGGTGCGTCTGTTACTCATATCACTCAGAAAAAAAATTCAATCCAACAGTTTTTAAATGATATACAAGTTTTTTTTTTATTGTAATCATTTTAGTTATCTTTTCCTGTTACAGAAATATACCATACTTTGAAGAAACTAAAAAATTCACTGTTTCTTTTCCTAATCCATGGAATTTTGCATTTCACTTTCCAACAGCATTGCGAATTTACTTACTTATACTTTTCTTCCCAGGTGAGACCCAAAACATTTTTATGAGAAATATTTCATTTGCCACATTCATGATATTCAATGACCTTTTTTAAATTATTTTCAAATTTTTCTTTATCTTCCTACTTTATATGTAATCATAAGACACATCCTCTGCATTGGCCATTGGAAAATCTTGTAGACCATGGGGTCCTATCACCTTATGTATCCGCAAACTGAATACGTCTGCATAAAATATATATTGCAACAACAAATATAAACTAAGTTATAGGTGGACAAGTTATAAATCTCCCTCCGAGTGTGCATTCGTGAGTTGCAGAGAGGAGAAAGTTCCCCCTTCCTTCGTTCTTATTCCCCTTGTGCTCAATTCCCTGCATGTACGTGCTTGCATGGTGTGTGTGTGTGTGTGTGGGGGGGGCATTGTGCCAGCTCAGACTGAGGCAATTTGAAGGGCCTGGAAAAAACTCGCCCCACACGCCCTGTCCCCATAACTTCGACACCTAATGAAAGAAAAGATAGCGAGCAATCTCCAAATGAACTCCACCTGGTCAGTTAGCTCAGTATTATGAAGTCTTCCTGAGTATTTGGGTTTTGAGTTTTCTGGTGTAGTTCTGATTTTAAACTGATTTCGTAGTGAATAGATGGAATCGTTTGGAATAATATCATGATTTAGTGATTTGTGTATTATAGCTTCTATGTCAACTTCAATGTCAGGCAGACCCCTCAGAGGACAGGTGCAAAAAATAATTTACAGGATTCACAAATACTTTAAGAAGCTAAAAATTTAGTTTAAGTGCCAACATTGTACAGATGACAAGTGAAGCTTCTTGTATATTTGACTTCACCATAAAAACAATTAACCATGAAGGGAAACAGATTTCAGCTGAAGGCACTCTTACATTTTCCACTCCAATAGGAAAGAAGTCAGAAAGAGGGAAAAAATTGTAGACGATACATTCATTGACGGAGCAATTAGTCAGAAGATACACTTCTTTTATACTGTTGAAAAAAGTGTCTCACAATTCACAAATTGCTCGATTCCCTTCATTACAACAATATATTAAATTTAAGCTGTGAGTTCTTAAGAATTAGACTTAGAACATTGGGTGTCAATTGAGAAAATCGCAAAATTTTAGTTGAGCAGCCAGATTCTTGGCGTTTAAAATATTTAACTAAAATTCAGAAATACAGACAAGATGGATGGAATATTGTTTTCATTGATGTAACATACATACAAGAATCACATTCAGTTACATCATGCTGGCAACCCACAAAATAGGAAAGAGATGAAGACTAATCATTGTGCACGGAAGAGGTTAAGAAGGATTTATAAATGGTGGTCTTCTGATTTGTAGATCTAGACAAACAACAGGTGATTATCATTTGTCTATAAACTTTGAAAATTTTGCCAAATGGCTTCAAGAATTTATTTTGTCTTGAAAAAGTATTATAGGGATGGACAATGCTTCTTATCACTTGAAGATAATAAGAAAGCCACTAGCGCTTTGCTGAAGAAAGACTGCACTTGTGGCTTGAAAAAAACAGTATCAACAATGAATCTTCCCTCACAGAAGCTGAACTTTTGCAGATTGTCTGACAAATGAACGCCCCTAAAAGGTTCATGAGAGATGAAATTGTCATGCAACACGGTCACATGCCTCTTACTCCATACCTTCCTGATCTGAATCCGATTGAATTAGTATGGGATTTTATCAAGACCAGCATTGGACAACATGTGGATTCATTTTTAGATTCCAAAGAAAATTTGTGTCACAAACTGTTTGAGGAATATTCTGCTGCTTAGTGGAAAAATTGCTGTAGTCATGTTGAAAACATTGAAGAAAACTACACCAAAACGGGTCATATTATGGATTAGGAAATGAATGATAGCATTATATCAATTCCAAACCCTCTGCCATGTCTGACATTGACCAAGACAAAGACTGTGATGAGAGCAGCGATGGTGCAGGTGACTGACAGGCTCTCTGTGCCATCCACCAATCACATCAGTTTGCAGGGTGCTCTCACTAGCTTTAGACTCTGCCCTAGGCATGGTGGGGGATCATATGTAAGGTATGCACGTCCTCTGAAGGCAGTTTACCAAATTGTTGGTCTGTAGTTTCTTTTTACCCTGAGTTGGGGTGAACTTCTGTTTTTTCCCCACCCTCTTTACAGCTGCTATCTATCGGTGTCTAAGACCTACGAGGGCCTGAAGTGCATATCTACTGCTCCTGAGGGCATGTTCTCAATGAAGAATAGCTTCGCACTCTGAACACTGGGTACTTAGATCTCAGTCATGAATCTTCACATATTTGCCTATGGTATCCTTTTGACCTGTCTCAGTGCTTGTGCTAGGGTTCTGGGTGTAGGGATCCAGTACCTCAATTACACATTAGCCACTCAGGCCAAGGGATTATGGAATAATTAGAGTATAGATATAATTCAGGGGGAATTCAGAAAGCCACCCATGCCACAAACACGAATTAAGACAGCTATGTCTTATTATATTTCGCAGGTTTCAAAACCACAGCTTTAAGTGTTCATTTACTTGGACTCACCTGCCCACAAGCCCCCGACTCATGAGGCCAAATCACTTGTCTGTACTATTTATAAATAAGTTGCGATCGTATAATGATAATAATAATAATAACAACTTGATAAAACTAATAACATATCTAAAATGGAACTTTTTGTGCATATATGAAATTATGTGTGCTTTGCTGCATTGGATAGAGTATTTTTATTCCTTTGTCACTGTTTCTGTAGCAACAATGCAAACAAATTTACTTTTGAGGATTAAAATCTATTATCATCATCACATAATACTGAACAATTTTTAAAAATTAACTTGCACCAAACCAAATGCTGTGGAATAACTATTTATAGTGCATGTAGTTAACACTTGTACAGTATTACGTAGTGTAATGTCATGGCGGTAAATGTAATATTTATATTGATCAAATAGTGTTTTATCAAAAAACGCATACATTTTTTCATATTTTCACAATTTTTCAGTCCCCGAATACTAGAAATGAGATAAAACTAAGAATTTTATTGAAAAATTTAAAAGTTTGGTGCTGTTTTTGAGAAAAATCTTAATTGTGTTTTATTGTTGCCCCTAATGCCCAAATTACCCTTCAGATTGAATTGACCATGTCATTCTATGGCACATATGAACATTTCACAGAGTGTACCTTTTCTTGAAGGGAGTTTGAGTTGCCTGAAGTGTTCAGTTCATTTAATATTGTGGATTTGCTGTATTTTTAACTACTTTGGTATGTTTAATCCCTCATTCTTCCCCACCTTGCAATTTTGGAAATTGTTATGACATTTGGGGAAGGTGGTCTACAAGTCATCTGGCAATGCTGTAAATTGTTCAAAATAAAATCAATTATATTTTTTTAATTAGATAATTGAAGTTTTAATTTTATTCTCTGTATAGTAGGTTTTATTTATTTACTAGTAATTCATGCCGTCAAAGTTAACAGTTTAAAGGAAAAAGAAAGTCCAGAAATGTAGTTACCCTTTGGTTGTGCAACCACATGATACTGATGCAAAATATTTAGATGTTACTTTCTTTCAAACATTTGACCATGATATTAAATAGGTTTAATTTTGTACTTGCAGGTATTTACATGCTGATGACTCACATGTATAGGGCTCGCATGAAGAAACTTGGGCCCAAGAAATGGCGCCCAAAAATGGCATGAACACCATTTCATTATCAGTAGCTGTCATACACATCTGCGTAAATATTAATTATCAATAATGATCAAAACGCTTAAGAATGTTTGTGTTCAATTGAGTTTAAAGCTTGTTAGGTTCCTTTTTCATCTCTAAAAGAAAGTGTAAAATATTTGGTTAATAAAAGATTGAGTTGTACCTAAATGATATGATAGCAAATGGATTCAGATATGAAGATTGTGTAAATTAGTGCTGAATATTTTGCCTTTTTCTTTCTTCAGAACCTTATGTTAAAAGGCAATTATCTTTTGTTGATAAAGCCATGTGATTAAATGAAATGTAAATGCAGAAAATGACTGTGCTAAAAGCATTTTTTAAAAGTAGCAAGTGAGCAAACCAAGATGCTTGTGTATTGTTTGTAGTTAGTTTTTTTTATTGTTAACTTGGTGTGCTTAATAAAATAAAGTATAATACTTCAAAAATTGACTTCAGCGTTTCTACCACATGTGCCACCTTTTTGATTAAAGGAAATAAAAATGACTCTTCCTTCCCTTGAATATTTTTCATAGCTTAAATATTGAATGATTGCTGGCTCTATTGAGATTGTACTGAGTAAACAAGAAAGTGATAAGCAATATTAGTGTGCCTTTGATGCATATTAGTGTGCAGAAGATTTTATCTAGTGTATTTGAGATTTTGAAAAAGGGACAGTGAGATGACAAACACAATTTTGTGTATCAGAAGTCTGCTGTCTATTAACTACTTCACTATCTTAACCATTTTCAAAGGCTCAGTGTATTATAGGTGTGGTCTCTCTCAAATACTATATCACTATGTGTATAAAAATATTTGTATCTCTCAGGATAATTTGAATTGACAACACTCATTATCACATGACTTTATAATTTTAAGTTGTTTGTAAAACTAACCATAGATCAAACCTTTATTGAATGACCACATTATGTATTCACCTATTTTTACCATTAGTGTTAAGAATCCATTGTGATCAGATCATTCCATCAATATTGAGGATTATTAAGTAGAATGTAGTAGTTTTTCATTAAAGTTACCCATGTACCAAAGTCGGCATTTTTAAGGAAGATGTGTTATATTTAGTTAAAGAATGCAGAACTACTAGTTTTTAATTCATCCACACCAGCAACAAAATTATGTAACAAATTTAATTGTTTGTCAGTAAAATGTTAATCTATATGAAATAATTTCATTCTTAATATGAAAAGCAATTGTACATTGAAACATATCTGATAGTATTCCTATGAAGAATTCAACATTTAAATATATTTAAAAAAAATAAATCTTGATGTTCAGCAGAATTCACCTTCTGTCACAAAAGAGAATATTTGTTCTGTTGTTGATTTTAAAAAATCACAAAAAGTTTTTATTTTTTGTTACCATTTTTGTGTGTTTTGTAAATTACATGGTCTGTGATAAATGAAACATGATTTTCAACAGAAAATGCATTGCTTGCACTTTTCCTTCCCTAACACTTACATGAATGAAATCTTCAGGAATTGAGAAATAAAGTTGAGAAATACTGCTTACTGAATCGTAGTTTTTTATATTTATGAACAACAATGACATAATATGAATAATTCATAAAATGATCTGAATGTCTTTCAAATTATTTTTAGTTGCTTTTTCATTACTGGAAAATTGTTACCCAAGGATCATGGAAAATTATCATGGAATCAATCATGGAAAATTAAATCAAATTGTGTTTTGTAAACTATCAGCATTTGTTGACAAAACATTTTTTTATAAAGGTTTTTCTTTGCTTTTTTAACAATTAGGGGTCAGTAGTGACTATTCTTGTTTTACCCACAGTAATATGTTGTATAATAATTAATTGCAATACAGAAACAAATTAAAACTTTCACTACTTCCAATAAGTTAAATGTTTGTCAAAGGCAGTCATTTTCAAAAAATTTTAATGTGTTTTGTGAGCATGTGGGAAAATACAAAAAATAGTCTGAAGAGGGCTTCAGATATTTATTTCTCCTTTACTTTAATCTTGCCTTTTAATGGTCTGCACTCTTTTCCTTTGTATGTCAAAACTTGGAATGTTAATTGTCAACGTAACTTTTTGTTTGTGTGTTTTTAATTCTGAAATATTAGAAGTCTCAAATATTATTATTTTGTTAATGTATGTGGCAGCTATTACTAGTGCTGTTCAAATGTAACTGCCAAGACATTGGATTTGATGATTCTGGCACACATCACCTCTCTTAAAGATGACGAGATTATCTTCTTTTAACACCATATTTAATGCCATTCATAGTAGCCTGGATCAAGTGACAAAACTAGAAAAACTAATGAAAGTAACACAACTTGAGAGTTCTACTGAACCCACTGAATCCTCCCGGAGCGTTGATTTTAGTGAGAATGATTTCAACGAAATCGAGGAACAGAGATATTGTGCTTTACAGTATAGTAATGTTATCATTTTTAATATCCGATCCGACGCATTTGATAGCGATTTAGCCAACTTTAATGCTAGACCAATAATACCCCAACTTCTGAATTTTCTTCAGACAGATCAGTCATTTGAATCAATAAACCTAGAGGGAATAATTCTCAGCTGCTAAAGGTGTCTTTTCCTGACAAGAAGATGCCTTGTTGATATTGTGAGAGAAAAAAAAAAATCTTTAGACAATAGAAACAACTCTGGGCATTCAATTCAGGAACGATATTACTCCCAAGCCACAATCTTATTTCCTTGATCTGAAAGCTGAGATGAAGACGTACCAACGATTGTGAGAAAGATCTCCTTATTAGGTTTAACAATATTATCTAAGAAAAAAAATCATTTGTCGGTTTTAGTTTTTTAATATAAATCCGTATGAATTGTTCTTATGAACAAGTATGTCCTTTTATTATACATTGGTTATTAGGCTTGCGTTTCCACCACAAAAAAATCGACTAAAACCATTTTAAATACCGAATTTTGAAAAATTTACATTTGATCCCCATTTCCCGGACGTGCAAGTAACGAGACTCAAGATTTTGGAAATGGGAGTTACTAAAGAAATATGAAGCAAAATAAACACATTAGTATTTCAAAGTGTATTTATTTTCTTTACAATAATTGTAGGAGACTAAAGTGATGTGGCACCCAAGATTGTCCAAGATCAATTGCACTGGGCTCAGGGCAGTTGGTCAAGTAAGGCTTTTAAAGGGCTTGAGTCATTCGATGAATTCATCTGTCCAGCAATTCTTGCTACGTGCAAAGAGTATATATGGCTACGTGTGTAAATGGCACTAGATGGCATTTATACTCATTCAGATTAATAAATTATTTTGTTTGGGGCAATGGCAGCCACGCTCCGATAATCAGTATTACTGACCACTACCCAACAAGCACGTTTTTATCAAAACTACTCAATCTTTTATAGAATGTTTAAAATTAGGATACTCGCAATTGTTATCAAATAATTTGCTGAAGTACTTCCCCTCCAACAAATTATAATTCTTTCAGAAATCTCCAAGTTCATATAAACCTTATTTTCTGAGCGTACTTTCTGACATCAACCCACCCGTCAACCCAAAATACTCTGCATCAACCACTCACTTCCCTAGTATGAACGCGATAATCGTCGATGTAAGCTCTCTTCGGCTGCCGCGATCAACTGGCTGTAGTTATCATGACCAATGGTAGGTAGAAGCATATGTTTCTGCCTTTCAATATAGTTTGATTACAATCTTTTTCTATAATTTGCCGCTGACTCCCATTACTCCGCGATCTAACGCAACGTAGCGTACTAACGCAATGATTGCGGGCCCGCCCGCAAAACTTTTATCCGGGCTCCCCTTATGAAGGTGTTTGGCAAACACAAGTAGTGTTGGTACTTTAAATAAAAAAAATCCCCCCCAAAACGGGCTCTGATTTACCTTTGCTCGCCAAATGTTACGCCACTGTCCATGACCCCATTACCTTAACTTTTCCCATAACCCCTTCCACGAACATAACGGATTGACAATCTGCAACCAGAATAGTGGGGGACCACGTTCCGCGACTTTCGAGACACTGTAAATTCATGGCGGGGGAATACGACACGCTGTTATATTCTGGTGGAGTTATGGTTTAATAACTTTTCTCTACGATTACTCCAAAAAGTATACATTTCTGCACGTTATCGGATGCAGAAGTGATGACGATTCCACAAGCTGACCAATCATATTCGTCTTAGTTCATTACACACGGCAGAGGGTTCTCGCAGTCGCCTACAGACGGCAACAGTCTGACGCGGCATACGATAGATGAACCACCATTATGCGAGGGTCACAGTATTGTTAAGGTCGATCTAAGTGGTTCTGATCGCCGCCGTAAAGAACAACGTTAAAGCAGCATTATTGGCATGCACATAAACATTAGTTGAGTTAGAGCGTAGGCTTCCGCGGCCGGAGTCAGTATTTACTAGGCTGTCCAGGTGACGCCACGTCCATGGCGAAGGTGCCGAAGTTTCGGTCGGCATTACGCCCTGAGGAAGGTCGCAGAATGGCGACCGAAACGTCGGCACCTTCGCCATGGACCCGGCGTCACTCGGACAGCCTAGTAAATATTAGTAGAGTTACTTTTTGCCGAGGTTTGTCTGGCAAACTAAAACCTTATTGCCAGCGCTACTTACTTTCTTCCTTGCAGCGATTCTCTTATTTACGCTGATTACTGGTGATTTTAATCTACCTAGAATTGTATGGAGCGATATTCTCGAAGGATCAAGGGTGAATGGTAACAACTCCTCCACAAGGTGGCATATTAAAAAAAATAGCTTCTGTTGGTGTCACCGCTCCACTAAACTAAATATGAACTCGTGGTGCTACAACAGTACATACTTTTTCGCCTTATTGGAAATAGCTATGTTATATTGAAATATTGCATTTTCTGCTCTATCATCTCAGCTATCACTTGAAAACGTCCAATTAAACCTAGAAGCGTGCAACGCACTGTTGCCAGCGCAGCGTTGCTAAAACTACATTCGCTTGACGAATAATATCAATTCTTAGGAAAAATGCTTATTTCCATCTGCATTCATTTTTCAACTTATTTATTGGTTATTCATCGTACATCATACACAGTTGATAAATAACTCTGATACCAATGAACTAATTAAATTAATATTCTTTTGTAATATTAAGTTAATTTATTACTGCCTTTTTATATATTGACACCGCCTTAAACGAGGTGCAGAAAATTAAAACTTTAAGGCACGAGTAGTATGTTCGTTAGATGGACCACGGTGAAGTCCTCCCAAAAATACTTTAAATGAAAATAAATTCTCTGTTCTTCAAGACGATAAGAAACAAGTCAATATCGCCTTCTGTTATCCGTGCGCCAACAATGTGTTACAACCAAGAATGACCGCTCATCTATTCGTTTTCACATTTAACACAATTAAAGGTCGCAATTTAAAATGAAATATCAAATAATATATACATTCTAACTTACTCATTCAACTACGTAATTTGGGAGCGGGAGACTGAAGCGAGCAACTTTTATTTAATATATTTCAAATGTTTTAAATACTTTCTAAAAGATAATTGTATAAAGAGTAACAAAAGGTCGAATGTAAGAAAAAACAAAGAAATATTAAATAATAACAAATTCTAACTTACGAAGCATCCGACCATGCGGAAGCGTTCACGAAGAGCAATAAATTCGCAGCGCCATTTTATTTTCACGCCGAATTTCACAAAAAAGAATACTCAGATTTTAAAAAAAATTGAACATGACCTTATTTCAAGATCGATTTTTGATACAAATTTCATTAAAAAATTTTCACAATTGTAGTGTGAAGAACACGAAGCGGAGTCAATCGAAGGGGGTTATTATATTTGTCGCGAAATTATACAAAACCCCTCAGATTAAAAAAAAAATTCAACATGACCTTATTTGATGATCTGTTTTTTAAGAACACATTTCATTAAGACAAAAAAAAAAAAAAAAGGATCTTGACATTTGTAGTTGTAGCAAGACGCCGACAATTTTTTTTTTTTAATTTCCGCAAAATCATGCAATTTAATAAACAGGAAAACTGCACCATTGTTTTAAGCATCCTATATGCTAAGTTCCCAATTTAATACAAAATATGTGATTTTTACAAAGCAGTGGTTTTTAAGAAAAATTTGCTACGTTTGACACAAAACGTAACAAAAAGAACTGATTTTGAAAAATTTTTGTGATCTTATTTAAAGATCTGTTATTGATGAACACATTCAGACTATCACATAATTTCATGAAAAACAACGGAGCCGTTTTTTTTAAAAAAAAGTTAAAAACAAAAATTAAAAATTGTCTATATTTCACGCAAAATTACGCGACAAATACTCACATTTCCCCAAAATTGTACATGACCATATTTCAAAATCTATCTCAATGGAACATTTTTAAGGGAAAAATCTCAACTTTTAATATTTTAGTTGTAGGAAGAAGCCGATTTTTTTTTCTTTCAATTTTTGTCCAACTCAAAGTTTTTAACGAACATGAGACCTACGCCATTCTTTTAAACGTCCTCGAGACTATCCAACAACAATATTTAATCATAATCGATGGCGTAATTCTTTAAAAAAAAATTAAAAATGTCCCAGGAGCTTCATGTAAAGTACCCCACAAAATTCAAGGGGCCACGACATCAGCCAGATCGATCGAGGAATATCAATCAATTCACATCACAGACGGACGGACAGTTTCGCTATATATAAATCGAGTTTTCCGTACGAAGGACGCGCAAAACATGGATATTGGCTACACCGTGTTAGAGAACTTTTTTCTAAATTTAGTAACTGGATTTATCCACTTCTACGCTGCCAGGGCCCGGTAATAAAGAGTTTTGTGTCGAAAATTCGTCTTTTCGGACGCTCATTACTTTCTCTTCTGAAGAAGTGCCTTCTTAAGCGCGGGAAAGTAAAATATCTATTAACGGGCAGATCCACAGACGAATTTTGGCAGGGCAAATCCAAAACGTTTTCGTCGAATATGTCATATTAAAGATTTTGTAAAATATAGCACGCTACTCTCAGCTCAACCTGAGATACGATTTTATTCAATTTAATGATAACCCGAAAATGTCTTTTCTTGAAAGCCACGTGTAAAGTAAAAATTAATAATTACTGAAAAAGTTGAGGGGGGAAGGGAATTTCCCTCCCCATGGAACCGCGCCTGCTATTAATGAATTGTTTATACACTGATAAAAATACAAGATTTGCAAATACATTTTATTTATTCCTTGAATGTATTTAAATGTATAACTATTAAATTAATGAAAATAATTTTTAAATATAACATTAAAATTATATATTTCTAATTATAAAATTTCCTTATTAGGATCACTCATGACGGTCCGGCTCCCCCCCTCTCCTGCACCATCTAACTACGCCACTACCTCCTCTATTTCAATTACTTCACCCATTGTATCGATCATCGACGTTGCAACTAAGTCTACCTATTCTATTTATTTTTAATTTAACGAGGTTATCAATGAACGAGGTTTACCCGATCTTTTTTTTCTGATTTGGAAGATTTATCAATAGAAGTGTGTGCCGACTCACTCCTTCATTGTGACATTTACCACCCTACCTTGATCATTACGGCACCATTGTCCAGGCCTGGCGGACACCATGGGCGGAACTGACATAACATCTACAGTGTATTATGATTTCAAAAGAAGTAATTATGACTGAATTATTTTTCCAAATCAATTTAATTAGTGGTCATCGAGCATCGCAGGCGATGACCAACGTAGCCACTGTAATTTCTTTTACACTTTTTTTACTTTTCCGTATACGTACGTATATACGGAGAAAGTAATATAGGGAAAGGTGTGTAATGCTGCGGAAAATCGATTTCGAGATTTCAATGGTAATACACGTTTGAGGGCTTCTCTGATACCGAAAAAGTGGATGTTTTCAAAACGTCCGTCCATCTGCGAGCACAACTAACGCCAAAACCACACGTCGGATTTTTCCGAAAATAAAGAAACCTCTGTCCATCTGGCTCGAGTCGAAGCTTTGAGATTATGAAAAACATTCTTTAAAATTTGAGGGTTCTTTACATGAAGCCTCCCAACCATTCAAAGATAGAGATTTTCCCTTTCAATAAAGTTTGCTTTTCATATTTAGTTCTTTCAATAATGTCATGTATCTTTTTTTGAAAATTCTAGTAGTTTTTGAGCAATACTGCCTGCAATATTCGCAATTTAAAAAAATACAAAAACAAGATTTCCCCCCCTCCCAAAAAAAACTGCTCCAAATTCTTTTTAAACCTTTGGTAGGGATAGTTCAAAATACACTCCATAAGAGAACAAACGCCATATTGCTGTAGTGTATTCTTTGTTTTTGAAAAAAATAGAAATATGTACATTTTTGACATGTTTCTCGCGTCGTTAATATTAGCAGCAATTAGTTCACATTAATGTATTCACGAGTACAGTGCTTTAACTGCCAGATAAAGTTACTCGAAAACTCAACAGTTTTCTGTGAAAATGAGCTCAAAAGTCCGCATTTTCAGAATCACTAAAACGCCATTTAATGACATACAATTAATTTTGGTGTATCCTTTTGTTTTTTCAAAAATTACACAAATGTATTTTTTTTTTCGTACACCTGCTTTGTCCCGCGGAATATGAACATTACGCTTGACAGAAGCAAGCAATCTTGTGTCGCCGCCGCCACTTATAGCCCAGGACACGGCCTTTGTTTCCGCAGTGAAACAGTAGCATATGATCATCACTAATCGATGGCCCCCATTTCGGGTGCGCTACCTTCACCGCACGGGAGACTTCTTCCATTATGACCTTTGGCCCATTTTTTTGTTTGTTTTTGTTGCAAGTGTTGCAATTTGTGGCACTGAGATATATTTTTCAGAAGGGAATCAGTCGCATTTCCTATAACCAAATCTTCTTATGCTTATCTGTAACGTAAGTGACATGGGGTTCCAGTAAGTTCACTGTAACTGAGAATAGTATTAGAGCTCACTATAACTTGAGTCAACTGTAATAGCAATTTTTTTTCTAGCAGCACAACCATGATACAACTGGCATGGCAGTGATATAAACCAACAATATTTAACTTTTTAATCCTCGCCAGTTCACAAGAAAGTTTCTAAAAAAAAAGTCATTTTGCAATTTAATTCTCAGTAGGGTATTTTCTTGACAATGAAGGTTTAAAGGCACTTCAACAGCTGTGGTCATTGGTACCCACACAAAATTATTTTTAAAATGTATTACAGGCTTGATACAAAATTACTGAAGGTGCCTAGTATCAAAAGGATTAAAATATAGACCTAAATGTGACAAAAATATGACAAAAAAATGAAAAGTCCAAGATAATTACGCCTTAAAATTGTTATGTGAACGTCTGGTAGATTATAACGAGCTTTTCTCGAGAAAGGACAAGAGGTTTGAGAGTGAAGACTTGTGGTTCCCAAGAAGCACCTCCACAGAGGGTTGCCCACACACATGCATGTCACCCATCTGTGTCACCAGAACCAGATTGAGAGGGAGGAGGGGAAGCAACGATTCAATAGGTCATGTACAAATTACTGGAGAATAACCTTCAAAATACCCTATATTGCTAAAAATCCAGGGCTTATGGAATTCTCATAATGAAATTGTGGGTCAAAATAATTCATCCAAACTTTTGACAAGTGTTTAAAAATTTATGTATAATTTCCCCAATGTACGATGTTACAATGTATGATTTACAAGAATATGATTAAGGTTTCTGTAAAAACCTTTTGTAATAAATGAAGGCAAGGATATGCAAAAAGATAAGTACATTTTATTAAAAAAATTCATACAATGTAAAATCTTACAAAAACTATCATTGTGACTGAGTTTGTCAATTCCATTACAAAGCAAATAATTTTTATAAATTAGATTGGAGTTATTTACATTTTTACCTCCTGCACAAGAAATTGTTGAAGGAAGACAATTTAAACTTCCATATAAAATACTGTTTGTTGTTCCCTTGACACACAGAATAACTTACTTTTAAAACCAATTTCCATTACTAACAAGTTTAAAAACTTAACATTAATGACAAGAAAATTATGCAACACTTCGGCTTCAGTGTCAGAATTTTAGATTGTATTCGACACATTTGGAGCATTTGGTATTAACTTTGGAGAGCATGAGCACTTTTATTAATTGCCAAGTATAAAATGCCTGATATACAAACGTTATCAGTCTTGTTATTTATAATATAATAAAAATAATACTAAATTTTAATGCACTACATAAAATTACACAATCACCATTTTATCAGTAATTCAACACAAAAATACAAATAATCAATTCCTTACAAAAAAGACTAATCATCCACAACCTTGCCTTTTAACTTCATATTACTTCAATCAACTTGAAATTAATTTACCTGCTTTATAAAAGATTGAGGGACAAGTTTGGTTATTTAAAAAATTCCATGAAAAAATGTATACAGTATTTTTTTTTTAATCTTGCAACCAATGTCTGAGCAGTCTTGAGTCCCTGCACTTGTAGTAACGTGGCTGGCATGGTGGACTGTGGAGAATTGGGACATTGGCAGGCAAACAGCTCTTTCTGTGTTTCTGAGTATGCTCTAAAACCAACACTGATTTAGCGATTTATTAATCGAGACTTCAAGATAATTCTTATTTAATGAAAGATGTCAGAAGTCACAACTCACAGTGTATATCACGTCAAACATCATTGCCAAGCTTTTCTTTATTTTAATAATAATAATAATAATAATAATAATAATAATAATAATAATAATAATAATAATAATAAATATAATAATAAAATACTAATAATAAATTATTATTAGTATTATAATTATTATTAATAATTCCAGCACACCTATTGCTCAAAGGCTTTAAACAAGGAAATGAAATAAATGTAATCTTGATAAAATAATAGAAAAATCTTCTTAAAATGAAGACATATTTATAAAATATTAAATATAAATTTATTTAATTTATAAAATAATAAAAATATAATACTCCTGAAAATGACAATTTTGATGATTCTCTTTCCTAAACGCTAATTATTATATAGAGGTTATTATATATTCAGTCTTCCCTCTGTTGTTCTTACAAGGATGAATGAAATGATAGACAAAGCCCAAAGACAAAATATGTGCTTTCTCCTTCTAATTAAAATAGCCTCATCCTCTCCACCCCAAAACCAGAGGGCACATTACTATCAGAGAGCCAAAAGGATTAAATGTGGAAGTGAAAGGGATCCCAAAGGCATTTGTGTACTTGTCAAATTTCCTCAACAAAAGGTGCTCACAGACATGGGTTGCAGAATAAACTAAAGACACTGGATAGTTATGATTGAAGTATTTCTTCCCAAAAGTATGTCTATTTTATCAAGAATAAGGTTTTAAGAATGGTAGAGAAATTAAATGTATAGCATACACTAATGTACACACAAATAGAATACATAACACGTACAATGTAATACTATATTACATTATATTGAAGTACTAGAACAATGTCAATGTTTGTCACCACGTAGGATTAGAATTCAAGAGGAAAAAAAAAGGAGGGGGGATATCAGGGGTTGTACTATAGTCTGAGTAGTAAATAGAGGTGAACTGCATAGAAAAGAACCTTCCACTACATATGTGCAAAAATTCAAACAGCTGCACTACCAGACCCCTCAGCTGACACTAGCTAAGTCTTCTCCCTAGTTTAATATGTCACTATGCATTTGCTTTCCTTGATGATTTCTCTCTTTGAACACAACTCTCACATACAGCATTTTGTGCCATCTGTTAACAATGGAATAGTCCCAGAAGCCACATTCACTGACCTTCCCAAACTCTAGAGCCCACAGAGAGATAATTCATTCTTTACAATGCGCCTCAGGAGGAGCCCCATCCCCAAAGATAATTTTCTAAGCAGTACACCTATTCTTTAATAAGCCGCATGTTCATATAAAAATTAATTTTAAGTGGTCATTGCCGTTTACCTGATATGAATATGAAACTTCCTTCTATATATGTGATAAGAAAAGACACACACACAATATAATGGTCCCAAAACACTTAAGTACCTGATGTGTATACATTTCAAAATTGAGACTCATTCTGATACTATTCTCTAAAACCAACTCTATCCTCTTATATCTAAAGTAAAGCATAAAAACAAATCTTACGTTTAAAAAATATGGTTAAAAATGTACACCACATAAAATCTTGGAAAATACATCATGCAATTGACATAAAATTTCATACTGCAACCTTGCCTCAAAGTATAAGTAAATTAAGCAAGCACACACATGTATACAAACAAACAAAAATATTCATATTAATAGTAGCTACAATTGTATATACCTGATAACTGGAATATGCTTAAGGAATAAAATCTGCATTGAGAATACTGATTATTGCAGTCATAATATATTTCTGGCTTCTGTTTACTAGCGAATATTCACTGATCTCGGATGTACTAGAAATAAAATTAAATCAACATTAAGTGTAAATAATATTTTCCAAGAACTTATACAAATAATTCCTCTTAAATCCTCCAAACCATAAAATTGAAATCATGAAATGTGAAGTTTGAAAACTAATTGTAATATATTACAAGCAGAAATATTTTTATGACTGTTCTTCATATTGTAAATGACAAACATTTATATTAAAGATCTCTTCAATATCAATTCCAAAAATATCACACATATGGAGTACCATAACATATGACTAAATAAATATTGTATCACACAGAACAGTTCAATGAAAAATATATAATAGAAAAGTCAGAAGTTTAAATAAATATCAATATTGTGTATTTACTTGCATATGAACTCTCATCCTTGAATCATTAAAACATTTATTCTGGAAACCTCTTGTTTGGAACTGTAGATTTGATAAATATAAACTATGAAAATGTGACTACTCAATCAAAATATAACTATTAAATATGAATTGTTGTCAATGTTATTGTGCTTAATATCAAACCATCTTCACTTTACCCTTTAAATTTTCACATATTTCATTTATTTTACATTTTAAATTTAGGCTTCATCCAACTCTTGTAACAAATTGAAATCTCTTTGCTGAAAGTTAAATTTTTAAGTACTTAAGAGGGATAAGTTATAATAAAATAAACATAAAATTGCCGACAAAAAGGATTCTGCAAGCTACAATCAACCAAAGGCTGCTTTCTTAATCATCTCATCACAATCAACCTCTTTATAAATATGTTTTAAATGTTAGACATACATGGCATATCATTACAACACCCACTAAAGTACCCAGAATTGTTATCACAGGTTTGTCAATTCAGGTTTGTCATTCAATTCAGTTATTCACATGCAAGTAAATAAAAACTGTGAACACTGTTTGAGATTATTCACATATATCATAATTTATGCTAATATTACTTTGTTAAAAAAAAAATATTAAAATTTATAAGTAAATACTCACAAACTTTGCTTCAATTCACAACTCTCCTAATAATATCTTAATTCTGTAATTCATTAAAAAAGTTCATTCAATAAAAATTTGGCATATTGTTTTCAAAACTGTATAAAGTATGTTTGAATTAAAACTTCAATCAACCTAAATGTATCTTAAACATTTAAGTACACCACATTATAGTTCATACAGCATTCAATTCAATGACATCATATTTTCTCTCTTTCTTACAAAGAAGAGGATAAAACAAAAAGCTATAATATACCCCTACACCACAAAGAATAACAGTCAGCACTATACCAACAATTCCCCATGCTGATAAACCGTGATTTTTCCCATTATACTTTGTACCTGAAAAAGAAATTGTAATTACTGGCTTCTGGAAAGGTTAATATAAAATTAAATTCATTGATTTTGATGTTGGCAATAATAAAGTTTTCAATAAAATTCGCTTTGGTGCACAAATTATAAAATGATCAAATGTTTAGGTAGTATACCTATGTTCAAATTACGCTTTAAATATTGGATTTCCAATTAAAAAATTGCTTTTATATTTGTAAACCATAGTATTTTAGGGAAAACATATGAAATTATCATGGATTCAAGGTGAATAGGTTTGTCATCTGCCTTGTTTCACAAGACCTGGTGGCTAATCTTTGAAGTATTGGTGATTTAATCATTTTATGTCTATTGGCTCAGACTAGTACTTCATATTCTTGATATACATTTTGAAAAATCAGTAATATGAACAAGTTATCTTAAATTTAATTGAAATGAATATTATTAATCACTTTGTGGGAGCAGATTCAAATATTTAACTCTCTCGTTCTACAGAGGCCACATTAAATAGTTTATAGTGTCCAGAAAATCATTTCTATCAAGGCTTTCAGAAATAGAAAGAAACAAAAGTACAGTCTGCTGTGTAAATTATTTTGTAATGAGAAATGTGCATGCTCATTTTATTGCTAATGAAATATGATAAGTACAGTTACACTTTTAATTAACAAAATTGGTAACAAAAACAAACGCAGATCAAAGGCAAGAAATCCACATAAATATTTCAAACAAGCCTTAAAAATATTCTCAGTGTAAATAGCAATTATATTAGAGAAATGAAAGCACACTCAACAAATATGTTAAAATTAGCTTACTTGGCTTCACAGTAGCCTTCTCTTTCTTCCCCATTTCAGTCCGATTCTGTTCATAAATACTGTCTCCATAATAGCCTCGACTGGGTCTCACTCTGGTTACTCCCTTACTACTACTTCCATTACTGCCTGTTGCATGCACAGTTTCTGAAAACACTGATAGCATATATAAATGTCAGCATTTCATAAAAATAAATTTTGTAACACAAATAAATGACGTAATTATTATTTTTTATAATTTATTTTAAAATATAATTCATATTTTTGGTGAGTAAAACTTCCATTAATTTCTACTCAAGGAACACACACAGTAGAACAGAAACGATAGCTTTCGCTCATGATCACTTTGAGCTTTAAGGATTCCCGTTATAGCTGTAATCATTATTAAGGATCGCCGGTATTAAAATCATCAATAGCGCGCAATGCAAAGCGGTTGGAATAAGGACTTCCATTGTTCGAAAACTCACTAAACAAAATAAAGGGGTGTTTGTAAAAATGTTGCCGCAAACTACTACGGATCATTTCATTGAGATTAAAGTATGGATGAAGATATGATTTAAATTGTAAAATATAAAAACAAACTATTATAAGAGTTTACCATCATCCTTACTATAGTGCAAGCCATGAAATTCGAAGCAAGCCGCAATTCTGTATCACATATCCCTGAAATCTTTCATTACTACGTTTTCATCCAAGTCTGCAGTTCTCGTATAAGATAGTAATGTTTTTCATTTAAAACTTACGCAAAAACAGCATCACCGCGCACAACGTACACGGTCGCCACATGTCTTCCAGAAGCCAAATTGCCTTGATTCAAATGCGGCATACACTCATTGCCTAGCAGGCACAAGCAGTGACACTTCAGAAGAGCGCGGACGGAGCGGCACGCTGGGGCGGGGAGGAGGAGGGGTGGGGGCGACGCTAGCATGTGCTGCGAGCGCCGCCGCGCAGAACAAGCAAAAAGCGTCGCGCGCAGGCCTTGAAATGACGGCCCACGTCGAACAGTATTGCAACAATCGATTTCTGTAACGAACAATAGGAAAGAGAAAAAAGCGAAAACTATGCGACCCTGGTATCTGTTGTAAATGCTGAATAGAAATCGGGGTCAAGTTTTATTTGTCTGAAAATGAATATGTTCGTTTAGATGGTTAGTAAGTCGGATCGACCACTTTGATAGTAGAAATCATAAGACAAAAATTTGACAAAAAGGAAACTGTTTGTGTGCCATTAACTGAAGTTCAGGTAACAAGATTATTAGTACTGTCAATCATTCAAACCTCAAATGGAACGCACGTTTAAATGAATTGAACACAAAATTAAGTCCATAATGCTAGGCGTTCAGAATTCTTTCAAATTCAACTGCTCGTTGTGTATAATTCGCGAATGTTCCTTCCTACCTGAGAATGGCCTAATATTCTCAAGAAAAACATCTTATTGCTCCCAGACTTTTAGATAACAAAAAATAATTGTACGAATAATAAGAAAATCCCACCCACGTGATTCTTGTAAGCTTCTCTAATAATCTAGCAATGTTACCATAACCTTGTCTCTTTATTTATGAATCATTGTTTTTTCGTCAAAAATTACTAAGTTAAGGGCAGGAATATATTTTCAGCAAACGTCGGTGTCTGCAGCTAAATCGCGCGACGTAGTAATCATCTTCATTAGGCGGCAGTATTAACAGATCACCACAAAAAAAAGTCACATACAATATATATTTTATAATACATACATAAATTTACACTTTGTCAGGTGACATTAAACTATTAACATTTTATACAAAAGTTTCAGCCTCAAGTAAAATCTTTTGTGCTCCATAACAGTTTATATACAATTAGAGACTATAAAAAGGAAAATAATATTAAAGGCATCAAAAAGGAAATTAATATTAATTTTAACAATTATATTTATTATTCATTATGTACTATTTACCATCTGGACTGTATAATTCTAAACAATCTGTAACAAATACTGTACCTCAGCTTCTGGGACAGTTACCCCCATCTCAATTAGGTTTTTCGTCCAGTTTCCCTGATCCCTTAAGCAAATGTTGAAATGCCCCTTGTTTTGTTTCTGGACGTAAATGTAACTTAATTATTTGTGAACGTCTTCTAGAGTTAACTGAGAAACATAGTTATTCATATTATCGTTCTCTATGTTGACGCGGCAGAAGTATAATCCTTCACGACGAACATGAAGAATAAGAACCCCAATCTATAGCTGTTTTGCCCTTGCGCTATTTTATTACATCGAAGCTTTTTGTTAACAGTTCTTGCCAAAATTACTCATTTCTTCGGTATTCAGAATTCAACTTGTATCCAGAATTAAGAAAACGTGCACAAAATACACTTCTTCCCGTAGCAAGTCACACATATTTTGTAAGAGTTTTGATGACAAATAAATAAAAAAGATGAGATCTGAGAATGCGAATGACTTTGTCGAGGTTGGTGGGGCTTCTCCGTGGTCGCATCTGTGTGTCGTGTAGTGATTTAGTTCATGTTAGTGGCGAGTCATGGCTATATTGTGTGGCCATCGCTAGATCTGCCTAGCGTGCGGGTCTTTCTTTTGGAAGCGACGTGACAAGGGAGTGGCAAAATCGTAGATTGTTCTGTTTTTTAAATGATCAAAATTGCACTTGTTTTCTGATATTTTCCATTTTTTAAATAAATCTCTTCGACTGTCTTAAGACAATATGGTAATTAATGTCTTAAGAAATCCTGTCGGCAGCACTAAAATTCGTTCAATCCAATAAATGTGAAATGAAATTATTATTTTAAAATTAGATTGGTATTCTGTTATCATTAATTATGATTGCAGTTTGTTCTTCGAGAAAGTGCATTTTAACCAAGAACACAAATTAGAAATGGGCTTACAGTCGAAGCTGTAATTTCAGCATTCCACGCATCGATAGGATGTTATTTCGCGGGGTGTGATGAGCGTTGTTAGTGCAATATTCCCCAGCATTGACGCAGAAGCCACTGTCATCATATACATCGCCCATGCCACGCAATCATATGGCCTCAAAATCAACATTCAGAAAACCAAAGCAATGGCAATTGATGGGTCACAGGCCAATGTCTATAAGGAGTCGAGATAGAACATAGAACAGGTGTCAGAGTTTAAATAACTTGGGTCGGTGGTTCAAGAGAAGAAAGTGTCGTCCTCGGCAGATATCCACAGCAGCATTAGTCAGACAGAAGCGGTGTTCGCCTCTCTCAAATGGTGCGGAGGGAAGAAGGAGAATATCTCGCTCAACACCAAAATCCGCCTCTTTCAAATACTCATCCTACGAATACTCACCCTCCCAATACCCCTCTAGGAACTGAGACGTGGATGCTCCTCAAGACTGACCTCAACTAACTCGAGGTTTTCCAAACGCCATGCATATGTGAGATATTGGTGCGATCATCAGGTACCCATCGAAAAACGGCAGGTTCGGTCATGTCTTTCGAATTAGCACCAACCTGACTACTGCACCAACTCCTCTGGCGACGACCAACCCAGTGGTAGACCCAGCGAACGGCATCAAAGAAAACCTGGCTCAAGAACATAGAGGAAGGTCTGAAGAGCCGTTGACTCAACATCAGCGAGGCCAGGGACCTAGCCACAAACCGCCAGAGTTGAAGTATCTCCTACACAATGTCCACAGTCCAGCGGCACCCGCAGCAGCGTACTGGTTATGGACAGGGCCGCTTTTGGAACTTCAGAGGCCCCTGGCGGATGCGAAAATGAGGTCTCCGTTCATACACACATTTTTCTATTCAGTAATAAATACAGATATATCAATTGTATCTGCATTACTACCAATAAGGGACACCAAGAAAGTATATGGAGTAATATGCTGTAATTGCGTATTAATAAGTGAAAAATTAATATTAGTTCTATTGAAAAGAGCGAAAAACGTACTCCTAAACTCAGTTCCATTTGTTTAGCGAAAACGGAGAAGGAAGTATTGTTTCCCAAAGTTGCGACAATCTAATGTCATACTATACAACGACGCTGCACAGGGTTCAATAAACCGCTAAATCTACGAAAAACCTGTTTCACCTGTAAAGCTACAACTCCACACAAGTTCCTTTCAGACTCGTGGAATTTGGTATACAAAATCGCGTCAAAATCTGAGATGGTCACGCGGATCACTTTCCCAAAATTTGTTTGAATTTACCATTTTTATGCCTCCAGGACAATTTTTTACTTCACGTGTTCAAATATTGCACTCTAATTAAACTAATGGTATTAAAACAGCATATACTTTGTTACCCTTAGTAATAGTTACGTAATACTTATTTATAACAATTTCTCTCCGAATTCACACATCTCAGTCGGCGTTTTTAATACTCTCATTACAAATCATAGAACATTAGATGCGAAAACTAAGAATTTTCAAGCCAATATCAACACAAATTCTACAATTATAAATGCGTTCCATACAGCTAAATCATGTCCCAACAATGAGACAGAATTCACAGAACTACACCTACCATCTTGTGGGGCCAATGCCATTGTCGCATTCCAATAATATATTTTCTGAAGGGTAGCAATGATTCTTTCATATTACATTTAAATCGTACTTCTAGAGAGAAAACCTACTTGCGCTAACTTCAATTATGGTTTGCGAGTTGCTTGAAAGTAAATACATCAGTGCAAATACATTCCTCGCAACGCGGACAAAAAATATGGATTATTATATAGAATAGGTTTTAAATGATTTCTAAAAGATTAATTTGTAAACCTAGAACATAAACTCGAATGTAAGAAACGAACAAAGAAATATGAAATACTATACAAATTCTAACTTATGTTGCACCCAATTGCTTCCAAGCACTTCTCAAGTTACGTGCACGAAGCACAGGAAATTCGAAGCGGGCCACTATGACACCAAATTACCCCCCAAAAATACTCACCCTTTCGAAAAATTCGACACGACCTTATTTGAAGATCTGTTTTTGATAAACACATTTCATTAGGGGAAAAATTATCTTCACAATTATAGTTGTAGGAAGAAACCGAAACATTTTTTAATGTTTTCAATTTTCGAAAAATCATTTTCGATTTTGAACGGTTTATGCTCTAGCGTTGTGCACAGACGGAACAGACTGTCGTTATGCCGTCAATCGAATTTTCGGTATCGAGTCACAAAACATAGTTGCTGGGTACACCACATGTTAGATGAATGATTTCTATATTTAGCAACTGGATATATCCACTTTTTCCTTACAAGGGTCCGCAATGAGAATTTTTGTGTCGACAATTCGCTGTTTTCCGGATTACTACACACTTCTTATGTTAGTAAGTACGAGGAAGTAAACATTTTGTTAAAAGTTAATAACTTCAACTGATCCTGGATCGTTTAGTAAAAATGTCTTTTCCAAATCGTGAAATATTGAGATATTTCGAGGTGGACGTTTTTATTGTCTAACCCAGTATACTGTGCTTGTAAAGGATTCCAGTAAAGTAGTAAAATTATGTACTGAAAGTAGGTCCTGGTCTGTCTTAAAAGTCGGTTTGCGGGGGATTTCCCCCTCCAGGGATCTCCTCCAGTGGGCCACGCCACTACCGACATAAGCTCAAAGTTCCCAGCCGGTCTTCCAACATGTCATGGTGTGTTGCATTTAAGTATACTTGTACGTGTATGTAAGTAAGGGGTGAGGATAGGACAAGAAAGAGGAAGGAAAGAGCGCGCGGGGGTGTTGTGTTACTGCCTCCGCATTTGCCTGGTTCAGAATGGAGGACTGCCGATGACAGAAGCCAGCTGCTACAATTCTCTTCCAGACAGCGCGCGGCTGAATTCGACCTAGCTATGTAGCTAGTGTCGACTGAAAGCCCCCGACGGGACTCGAACCCATCGACCTCAGGGCGATCGACCTCGCGGCAGCTGTGGCTCTGAGCTAAACGGCCGGTCCTGGTCTTTGAGGATCAGTTTAAGACAAAAGG